TCACAACAAAAACAAGAAGAAAATTACCCTAGAATAGTAAAACAAAAAAAGTAAGGCATTCCCGTTTCGAAACAAGATAATTTTAGGTCTAGGAAAATAAATCCAGTTTAGGTGATGAAAGCCTGCATCCTTCCCCAAGCTATACTAAGTAGAGCTAAAATAAATTTAAGCCGGTTTTCCACCACCCTCAATCCACTTCTATTTCATCCTCAAATCAGCTCAAGTCCTAAGTGCTATTAAAATACTTAAAATTGTTCATCTTAGCCAACTCCTGATCAAAGTCCTAGACCTCAAGATTCGCTTCCTCTGAAAAACATCTATTTCCAGAGTGAAGAACTCCAGATCTAACAACCCTTTTTTATGAAGGAAGAACAAATTGTCTTCTAAAGCGCTTTAAACTGTTTTTCCTTGTTTTCGACTTTGGATGAACGATGTGTACAAGTACTTTCAACTTCAAATCTACATAACAGCTACCATGAATCTGAAGTGACTTAAATTTATTCAATTGTCATGAAATTGTCCCTGGAGAGGCCTTAATTTGGCAAAAATATCGAAAATCCTTAAATTTTCAAAAGGTGAAACCTAGCAAGGAATTCCCTCGGTCGATTTCGTTTCTTCGACTTCATCCGTTGAAGAAAAAAATAAAGACACAATTTAGAGAAAAATTCTAAGAAATTCAAGAAATCTAGAAGTATCGAATGGAAAAATTTGTGACTGCTTAGCAAAAAGCAAATTGACTGCAGACCCAAAGAACTATTAAGAGACTAAGAGGGAACAGGTAGAAGCCAAACCAAATAGTTAACGCTTTAAAAACCTTTCAGTTCAATCACTTCCATTCGAACTGTGGCGGCATTTCCGCTAAGTTTACTTCGCTCGCAGAGAAGCCTCACTTTTTCCATCAGCGCCTATAAAAATCCCACCGGTATTCCAAAAATCAATTAAAAATTACTTTTAAAGATTGTGATGAGAAAAACGACAACGAAAACTCGCAGACGTTAAACCTGAAAAGCAGCTTCATCAAGCTCAAAGAAATCATCGTCCTTATAAACATTGGAGCAATTTGTTTCAGCAATTCCCATCAAGGCAGCAGCAGACCCAGTTCTTTTTGAAAATGTATAATCTCCACAGCTTTCATCAGTACCCATACCTGTGAAAAATGCAAAATCTGTACCTCCATAAGTACTATGTCCCTCTCACCTTTAGCTCAACAAGTAAGAGCATCAAATCACTAAAAAATTTGTCCCTTAAAAAAAATATGCACTAGTTACCGACAAAATACATCCCCTTCTCACAAAGCAGAGGGACCACTGTTGGATTCACCTCATAGCGATGTCTATGGCGTTCCCTCACATGCATTTTGTTATAAAGCCGTCCTAAAAAATAACACCGGGAATGAACTTGCCAACAGTAATAACGAAGTAAATAAAAATAATGTCACTCACCAAAAGTGAAAAGCACAGCTTACTGATCAACAATCCAAAAATACGTAAATAAAAATAACTCACTTAATTTGCACCTCTCAGTTAGGAAAACTGTATCACGCAATCCGAGGCGCATGCTGGCCCCCATTCCAACCTTTGATGGGTCATGTTCCGGCATGTCAATAACAACCTGGAAGAAAGTCCACTACCTCCAAAAACGGTGCAGGAAAACCAGGAAAGAACTCACAAAACGCATGCAAGAAAAACGAAAAATTAAAGATATATGAAGACCTGCTGTTCCGGTTTAAGATCTTTATTAAACTCTGTCGAATTAGCTCCCTCGATTCCACAAACGTTTCTGGCAAACTCAATTACAGCGCATTGCATACCCAAACAAACTCCTTAACAAATCATTTACAACTTCAATTTCTTTTTCCTTCAAGAAAAGAATGGTTCCGTAGAAAACTACAAAAAACAAGAAAAAAAATGATTTTTT